AGATTGAGGAACAGCTTTACACAGTCAGTGACTGGCTTTTTCCTAGTTATTCTGTTCTATGATTTGATCATTTTACTTATTTTGTCTTATCCTGTGAATCACCTGTATATATTTAAATTCCAAGTACAGCAGAGCCTGCGTCTCAGTTGCACGCTACGCTATATAAATACCTCAAGTTGTTTCAGCCAAGCTTAGACAAATGCTTAGAAAGTATAATAGTGGCTCATTTAGTCTGGGTTCTGTCAGCATGTCTGAAGAAGCGGAACGGGAGATGTTGGAGCAGTCCTTCCTAATAATGCTGAACAACAAGGGTGAAAGAATGGAACCTATGTTATGCGGATTTCAGACCCTTTTCGAATGATGTTCACACAGTCGCTGTTTTGCGTGCTACTAAGACACAAGCAATGAGTCAACCCACCAGCGTCATTGGTGGTTCTAAGGCAGGTTAGAATGTGCCTACTAAAAGTTCATAGAAAGTTGTTTGAGGAACCGATCTTTGAGTGATAGCTAGAAGAGTTATGTACATGTTAACTAGCCATGGCTGCAAGCGTAGATATTTACGTAAAAAACATTATTCATGGGAGAGCCTTCATTTTTGCCGAATGAAGCACTACTGAGTCTCGAGGAACAGTAGCGAGCGGAGTGGTGGAGCTATAGCGATTGAGCATATAGGAGTTAATTAAGCAATGATCTTATTTTTCAGTGCATCCGCAGAACCCTTTGAAATAAACTTGATTCTTCAAAATGATCGAGGTTAAAAACCAGATTCGAATTACGCAACAGTCTGCGGACACCTCCTCCGCTGGTGGAAAATGAAGTCCCACCATGAAGATCGACCAAGCAGCACATTATTTCCGAATGCCGGCTGCGAAAGCTCGACGGCAGCATGATCACTGTTCAGACTGGTATCGCTGAGGCCGTCCATCGCCGTAGAAATCTCGACATTCTTATCTGGATATGAAGTTGCCAATCACTCTCCCCAGCCTTACGACAGAAGATTGTCTAATTTTCTGACATCGACATGTTCAGAGTGTAAACAGTTTTGAAGAAAATCTTTTTTTAAACACGTTCTCAATATTGTAAACCTAACATTAAACATGTTCCCTCGTCGATCAATAGGGCATGGTCGTAGCTTCAGTGTTGAGCAGTTTAATATAGTCGTTCTCCTTATGACTGAATGATTGACTGCTAGAGATGAATCACGATGTGACATCGAGTATCATCATATAGCGGTTTAAAATTCAGTCAGCTCGTTCTCACGTTTTTATGTTGTAAATTGACTTGATTAATTTGGTCGATGCTCTGTGGGTGTGTTGGATCACCAGTCATAGGTTATTCACCTTCTCAGGTAGGATACTTCGTTTTGTTTTGGTTTTCGCCATGTTAAGTGGCAAAAGTCGCTTCTCATATGCAGTCATGAGGACACAAATTGTGATAGGTGCAGTAGAGTGAAATTCCAGCCCTTCACCATTCAGATGGTACGAAAATTGTTACTTTCTTTAGTTCTGCTTTGAAGCAAAGACGCGGTGCGCTTTCGTTGTAAAAATCGGGTGAAATAAATTGACCTTATATCATTATCGAGTCACTGAGACCTAACATTTTTGGCAGCCATATCAAAACGTCCATGTCATGGTTTATTTACATAATCACGTATGGATTGTAACATTCTTGTTGGTCTTCGTATGCGCAATTTTCAGTGAAACTCAGAAGTTCAGAGAAGATGTGATACTAGAGTTTGGTTCAATAACGATAAGTTTTAGGTTTCAGAGGATACACGTAGATGCACATGGTTTGTCGTTAAGATATCGGTGGAAGGAGATCACCTCTTTCATACTGTTTGTCAAGGAGCCAATGAATCTTCAGGATTTGGAGGTTGCTTCCTGGGCGAATCATCTTCGATGGCTGAGATGGTTTTCCTCCATCGGGCAGTCATCGATGTACGACGCTGGATTCCAGGCTCGCAGGAGCAGTTGGCACACCTCTGGATTTTTCCCAACACGGCTCTTCCACAGGTCAAAGGGTTGCCACGCACGGAGATTACAGGGACCACCACAGTGTGTTTTTCTGTCCATTGCTCAAATACCATGAAACTGCAACCTGTTAAAATTGACCTCGTTGGCGTCTAGAAGCAAGCCGGCTGTGGGGCTACAAAACAAGCCCGGTGAAGTGAATCGACTTTGCTACCTTACGGGAAGAATTATAAATTGTCATTCGGACCTCAGGGTCATCTCCCTTCTATTTTCTTTTCATTCACATGCCTTACTGTTCCCAAAGCATTATCCGGTGGATCAGCTTCGGCTGAGGTTCAGGCGATACTGCGGTGAAAGGCACTAATCTCCGTCTGAGAATTAATTTCAATTCACACTGATACGAACGGATTACTGCTCCGGGCGTAACATAAACTCTGCTGTGCTTGGCACCGTCACACATTTCCGAATTTTGGTTAACAGTCCCTCGCCCCTCCCCCCTCCCCGCGATGAGTCTGAAAATATTTTTGAGGAGCATCTCCTTTTCTTGTCAGGTCAATTCAACTAAAACCGTATACTAATTTTTATCATAGCTGCAAGCGACATGCGTATACAACGACAGTGCGTTGTGAATGTAGAAAAGCAACCGCATTTCTATAACCTAGCATTTCGCTTTATGCAGTAGCGCTGAGCACTTTCAGTTGTGAAGATGTGCTGCCTATTCGTCGTTTTGCTGTTCGTTACGTCATGGTTGTGGCGAACTGCTTCGCTGCTGCAGCTGCCCAGCTCGTGCCCCTTTGAAAGAACCGCCGGAATTGTCGGTCACTCTCCAAAAGAAGATTCTCAGTGTTATACGCTAGTGAAATGGAGCGAATTAAGTACGAAAACTTTCTTCGGCGCGAAGCAATATTGCGCCGACACGTTTCTTGACGGAAGCTTAGCATATTTGCACAATTTGACCGCTCAGCTGCCTTCGCCGGACGACATCGCTCCATATCTGGATGTCATTCGCATCCCAACCGGTTGGATCATACGCAAATTGTCACCTGTTGACAACAAGGAGGAAGGACTTCAGAGAAATTTCGACATAGAAACCGGTTCTCATCTGACGAAACACGTCGTTGTAATGTTCAGTTTTCTTGACCTGAACATCGATATCGACAGCGACCTCGGTCTGTCTTACATCGACGTCCTTCTGATGGTTTTCAACGAAGAGACGTATGACGTCAAAGAGAGGGAGAAAGGCACCGCCACGTCTGCAAATGAACCGTCCGTCTTCGACTCGTCGCTTCTGGTCAGGGAATTTGACTCACGGTCGAAAGCTGTGTACCGCATGAAGGTGGCGGACTCTTTGAAACTGATTCCCTCGTTTCAACGGGACTTTTTCTACTGTGTTGGCAGAAAGTACGACGGCTGCATCGTTGACAAAGCCGACGCAGGCGTGTGCACGTATTCGTTCGAGAGAAAGCGTTGCTACAAGTGGTACCAATTCCGAGTAACTAAGGAGCAGGATCGTCCACACGGCAGGTGCGATTCGAACGGTTTCGACTATGCAGAACCGTGCGCCTGCCAACAGGACAAAACTTGCGCCGGATCGACCTGGCAGTCATGGAGCCGTGTGACGGCAGTATGTGGAAAGAGCGTGGTCAAACGGCTTAGGCCTCAGATCGACATGCCCAGCCAGGACTGTAGGCTTAACTCGACTGGTTGCTGCCTTCAGTCCAAGACCGTCGCTCTGAAAGACTGTCCGTGCGTGGTCAATAAAACCATGTGTCAAAATCAGGCCACCTGCGTCGACCTGTCAGAAACTGCGTTCGCCTGCAACTGCACCGAGGGGTTCACTGGCGAACTGTGCGATCAACGTAAGTTGCTAGTCGTTCTTTCATCACGTTAATCAGCAAAATTATGTAACGAAATATTTATATCGATTGTAAGGGAGAAAAATAGCATGCATTATTGTTCACATCAGCTACGAATGACCATCACGGTGTTGGTGTTTTGCTTGCTGAGACCAATTCCTTAAGCGATTTGCATAAGCAGAGCCTCTTTGCTTTACGACCTCCACTGTATACAGCACCGGTTGTTGTATAACCTTTAAAGATACAGGCTCTTTGGCATAAGAGATCCGCCCCTACCTGATTCGTCCATGCCGAATGCTGGCTTCGATTTAGTCGACGTTTGCCGTGTTTAA